ACCTCCCAGACCAGGAAAAGGAGGATGTGCTAGACATGCCCATCGTTCCCGAGGGGATTTTCGGCTCCACTTTCGCCTCCATGCAGAGGACATGCGAGTCGAAAAAGAGAAGGAGGACGAGGCCTCCCACCTCTGTCTCCCTCGAAGGGTCCAGCCGCTGCCTTCACAGCCGGGCAGTCCTTCGCCCAAGCTGCCTCGGACCCTGCTCGGTTCAAAGTACCAAACACAAAGAGGTCGCAGCCCGCCCCGAGTCCCCAGAACAGGCAGGAGACGAGGGCGAGTTGGCCTAGAAAATCTCCGGTTCCGGCTGCAGCCCAGGCGCAGCCAACCCAGAATTTCGGCCAGCAGTCGAGGAAGAAGAAGCGGGCGGGCCTGACAGCCCCCCCTTCTCCCCTCTGTGACAGAGCTGGAAGTCCACGGTTCCCCAGCTTCTAGATTTGTTCCCGCCGCCTCGAGAGATGCCTCAACGCCATCCTCAAGTCCGCAAAAACACATGTCAAAATATTGTTGTTGTTTCTCACATAAACCATTTTCCGCTGACGCATTCAGGCTTCAGGCCAAGGGCGCAGCTAAATTTTTTTTAAAGAAAAACAATAAAAACAATAAACAGTCCGTCAACTGTTCCCCTTCTGAGAGCAGCTACGGCCTCTCTCAAAAGGCGGATAATAGACGGGTCTGTGAAGGCACCACCGTCACGCGCATGCGCAGTGCCGGCTGGGGTTGTGAAGGCACCACCGTCACGCGCATGCGCAGTGTCGGTGGGGATTGTCGAAATGGGGTACCACCGTGTTCAGACACTAGAGGGCCCCATAACACAACAAATAGAGACTCAGAGGGTAAGAGACGTGACATCTCCACTGGCTCTAAGGAGCATACAGTGGAAGATGCTCACAACATCTGCTCTGGGTTTTCAAGACAGTAACACGGGGCTACAGACTCCAATTCGCTGTCACCCCCCCTTGCTTCTCGGGCATTCTGTATTCACAAGCCCGAGGAGAGTCAGCCCATATTCTAGAGAGAGAGATTCTCTCACTTCTAGAAAAGAGGGCTATATCTATAGTACCCGCCGAGCAGAGTCAGAGCTGCTTTTATTCCAAGTATTTCCTTGTTCCCAAACGGAGAGGGAACGGGATTCGGCCAATACTAGATTTGAGGGTTCTGAACAAATATCTAAGAAGATATAAGTTCAGAATGCTCACTCACACATCTCTGCTGCGGCTCGTGCGACAAAACGACTGGTTTACATCAGTCGACCTGAAAGATGCGTATTTCCACATCCCAGTATATTACCCACACAGGAAATATCTGAGGTTCGCATTTCAGGGGATCTGTTACGAATACAGAGTACTTCCCTTCGGTCTGTCTCTCAGTCCAAGAGTGTTTGTACGACGTACGGAAGCCGCGATAGCCCCGTTAAGACAACAGGGTATTCGCCTGGCGACCTACCTAGACGACTGGCTGCTTCTCGCACAGTCGGAGCAGGAGGCTATTACGCAGACAAATGTCCTCGTAAAGCACCTGCTCAACCTGGGTTTCATAATAAACACAGAGAAGAGCATGTTGTGCCCAGCACAGACTATACTCTTCCTGGGTTTACACCTGAACTCGGTGCCCTTTACAGCCCGCCTGTCAGCGGAAAGAGTGAAAGCTTTCAGAGCTTGTCTCGCTCATTTCCAGCTGCGCAAACATGTTCTCTTCAGATCATGCCTGCGGTTACTGGGGCTCATGGCGTCAGCCATCCTGGTCGTACGACTGGGACGCTTACACATGAGGGAGTTTCAGCGCTGGGTAGCCGCTCTAAAACTAAACCCTGCGCGTCATGGCGCGCGGAGAGTAATGGTTACTGTGAAATGCGTAATGGCACTGCGCCACTGGCTGCACCCGACTTTTCTAGTACGGGGCGTGCCTATGGGTGCTGTCCTTTCACGGAAGGTGGTCACCACGGACGCATGTCTGACAGGCTGGGGAGGTATTTACGAAGGTCGTCCGGTGAGGGGTCTCTGGAGCAGAGACCTCCAGCGGGCGCACATAAATTACCTGGAGCTTTTAGCGGTGTTCCTCACCCTAAAACGCTTTCTGCCTTTTCTCAGAGGACATCATGTCCTCGTGAGGACAGACAACACGACCACAATATCGTATATAAACCGCCAAGGGGGTTTGCGTTCTCTCCAGTTACACATGCTGGCACGCAAACTGATCTTATGGAGCTGCGGACGTCTCCTCTCTCTGAGAGCGACGCACGTACCAGGAGTGATGAACCTCGGGGCGGATCTACTGTCCAGAGGTGCACCACTATATGCAGACTGGACTCTACATCCAAGGATTGTGAGTCAGCTGTGGGTGCGTTACGGCAGAGCCGCGGTAGATCTGTTCGCATCAAAAGAATATGCTCAATGTCAGCTATTATTTTCAATGCGCGATTTAAACGCACCGTTAGGCGTGGACGCGCTCGCGCACGTTTGGCCTCCGGGCCTTCTGTACGCGTTCCCACCTCTGGCTCTGATACCCCCAACTCTGGCCAGAGTGAGGGAACAACGCCACACACTTATCCTGATAGCTCCGCACTGGCCCGTACTGGCTGGCGGAGATATATCAGCTGCTGTGCGGGCAGTCCCACTACGCAGGGACATACTGTCTCAGGCGGGGGGGGGCGATCTTTCACCCACACCCAGAGCGCTTGGCACTATGGGCCTGGCCTGTGAGTGGTACAATCTGAATACAGTGGGACTCCCTCAGAAGGTGATAAACACTATTCAGAGTGCGAGAGCTTCCTCCACCAGGTCTCTCTATGACTGTAAGTGGAGGGTGTTTGAGGAGTGGTGCCTTCAAAAAAGGACACATCTCTTTTCAATGTCCTGTCGGGGTGATTTTATCATTTCTACAGGACTTAATTGATAAACACAGAGCTTTCTCTACGATCTAAGTGTACCTGGCTGCTATTGCTGCATGCCATGTGGGCTTTGAGGGAAAGACGGCTAGCCAACATCCTTTGGTCTGCCTTTTTATGAAAGGGGCTCACAGGCTCCTCCCTGTTTCCAGGTCACTGGTGCCCTTATGGGACTTGGCAGTGGTTTTAGATGGGCTCACTCTAACCCTATTTGAACCCCTTGAAGAAGCTGACATTAAGCACTTGTCACTCAAGACAGTGCTGTTACTGGCTCTGGCATCCGCCAAGCGAGTCAGTGACATTCATGCGCTATCTGTACATCCTTCATGCACTCAGTTCGCCCCAGGGCAAACAAGAGTGTTGTTGAAGCCCAACCCTGCCTTTATACCTAAGGTGGTTGGGTTCATGTACCCCAATTGACATTGAGGCATTTCCTCCGCCGCTGTGTTCCTCCGGGGAACAGCAGCCGGATTTGCTGTGTCCAGTCCGTGCTTGACGCACATATATGGACAGATCAAAAGAGTTTCGTCATAATGACCAACTCTTTGTGTTCTGGGCTAACCCTCAGAAGGGCAAGCCCGTTACTAAGCAACGGTTCTCCCACTGGATTGTGGAGGCAATTGCTTTGGCCTATACGAGTCAGGGTTTGCAGGCACCTTCGGGTCTGCGTGCTCATTCGACTCGTGGTCTGGCTACATCCTGGGCTTTGTTCAAGGGTGTTTCCATCGAAGACATTTGTGCAGCAGCGAGCTGGTCCTCGCCGCTCACTTTTGTCCGCTTTTACAGGCTAGACGTCTCTGCTCCTAGTGTGGCCCGAGCAGTGCTGGACACCTTGTTGAGTCAGAGCTCTACCTGTTAAGTTCTGGTTGGTTTGGTGAATTTCGAGATAAGCTCGTCTGGCAATACGGGAGCTACAATATTCCATAGTGAGACATCGAACGGAGTGTTATGAATGAGAACTATAGGATACTTACGTAACCCCAGTTCTCAGAGTAACATGTAGTGAGATGTCTCACCAGACGGCCCTCCTTGCTATGGTGAAGCGAGAAGAGGTGCTTATTTTGAATGACGCATGCGACGTAGCGCAAGCTACTTATAGGGGGTGGATTCCCTGACGCTGACGTCAAGATCACCTGCCAATCAGGATTGGCGTAATGAGATTGATGCTTCTGTTTGCTCCGCGATGAGGCGCATCCCATAGTGAGACATCTCACTACATGTTACTCTGAGAACTGGGGTTACGTAAGTAACCTATAGTTTTGGTTGCATGTTGATTAAGTAACAGGTCCTGTGTTGGGCTTTAATTCACTTTTTTTTCAGAGAACAGCCTTATGTACTGCTGTTACTGTGAGTATAATCATGCGTTAGCTGCTATTAGAAGAAGAAGGATTACTGTAGAAAGAGAAACAAAAGTTTAAAAGAGGGATACCAAGATATGCTTAGAATTAACATTCAGTAGCTTGCCTGATATGTTAATTCACCACCTTTTACTGTTAAAATTGATAATTCTGACTCATGAATGAACGACTCATTAAAACTAGTTGTACACATTTTAGACCTAATTTGCAAAAAACAGGGCAGTGTTGCAAGCTGAGTAGGAACTCAACAACACTGCTCGCAGCAGTGGGCTCCACCAATTACCAGGACACCTTGCTTCAACAAACATTGTTTTTCTGCTGTAATGATCATAACACATAATGTGATCCGAGATTTTACTTTTTACTTGGATCAACAACCATGTTAACACTCATATGAGAGCCATGCTGCAATAAAACCCTCACAGGACCAAGAAATAATAAAAACAATGTGTACCTAGACCTAATCGGAACCTGGGTCATGTCTCATTGGAAATATACACATTAGTCAACCAATTATGATATGCACACCGGGGTTGGTACACTCAACTCACATTGAAAACCTGCTTTAACATTATACATGACGACTAAAATGTAATAATGTATAATAAGACAATTTCACACCTCATCAGCATTCCACTCTCAAACCCTGAGAAGTTGAATTTTTCGGAGTAATGAAGATATCCGACAGGCCTATGATGAAGTGCTATAGCACAGCTGTGTGATAGCAAAGTGAACTATGAAATATGATTTCATACCTGTGAGGTATTCTGGGTCGGGAATAGGGTCTGACAGCTCCTCATGGCACTGGACCTCCGTTGGCACTGATGCCACCACCATGCCATCTGGGAGCTGTTGCTCGATGCCTCGGGCAAAGTTCTTCTGCCTGGTGTGAAAAGAAAGGAGAGATAGGGAGGTCCCATTTAGAGACAGAAGCACTCTGTCATCCCACATGGGAGAGAAGGAAAACAGATGTAGAAAAGCAAGTGTAATGGATTAAAGGAGAAATTACTTAAAAAACGTGATTGGTTCCGTTTGTACCGACTTCAGGCCAGATTCAAGTCAAGCATACTTCAAATATAAGGTGTCAAAAGGGATAATGTGTAAGGACAACTTACGTTAACATATACACTCATTGAAACAAAATATTCCTTTTGCTGCCATTGGGAGTGGGAATCAGGCTGATACTGTTCATGTGCACCACGTTTCTAAATGATTGAGGTTTAGGAAAACAGAAACAACGGATAGATCTTTTTCATGTGTCAACAGGCACGTATTTAGGGGCCAACAATGGGTTTCAAGCATCTGGCCCCTGATTTCCAGACCACAAAACCCTAAGGAAGTTGCTATAGTTTTGTTCACATAGTGACCTTTTCAAAGAATTGTAAGAACATTTAAAATAAGCCTTATTTTAGCCTAGATAGTATATAGATAATCAAAAATCTCTTGAATGATGGAAACATGTCCTTCTAACAAGATATATACTTATACTAAACATTGCAAACATCTTTCTTTATTTGTTATATTTGTAGATAGAAACAACATCGCATCCTGTAACTTGTCTATGGCCATTTTCTTTAGACTATAAAATATCATTCTTTCTCCGAAAACACTATTCTCCAATGACAGTAATGTGGTGATAGCCGAACATAAATGAGACTGATGAAAATAAATGAAGAGGATGAATGAAAGCCTGAAGGACTGATTACAACAAAAAAGATGAATCCTTGAGTGTCATCAGCGGCATATTGTAAAGCAATGTTTTCTGGCACGGCATTAAGGGGAAATCAATACATAGTAACACTTATGCAGACAAAGTCTCACATAAAAAAGCCATTCTTCATTATGGGGCTTCTACTGCAACGTGACTTATCTTCAGCCGGAGCCATGATGTCCTCATTTGTCTCTACCAGTGACTCTTGGTTGAACTCACTCATTTGGTCCACTCCATCATTTTCTGTCTCAATGCCAGTTAGGTTCACAACAAGGTTCCGCAACAGAATGGCTTCAATAAATCAGTAAGTTAAGTCACTCGCTTGTCTCAGGACCAAAGCTGATGAGAATATATCTTAATTTTCCTCCACTAAGGATCCATAGACCTCTGCTTATTTTCACACCAGACTCATCAATTTAAAATATACTACGCAACATTGTATATTAGCAATTGCAAAATGCAGCCAGCAGGTTATTATTTTATTTAATACTCTCACTTAAAGCTGTCTTTTTTCCAGTGCCTACTTAGGGGAAAAAACATGTAACAACCTCAAGACAATCACACACATTTGACATTTAAGAGTCTTTACAAACTGACGTTTACTAAGTAGTTAGCATTTAGTTACCTGTTTACCAGCTATCTTAAATTGCAAGCTGTCATTAAGACATAGCCTTCACTCTGCTTTGTAGAGGTTTTAACTGAAAACAATTACCTCCTAGTAAAGGAAAAGTTCCAGACCGTAAACCCAAAACAATGAGACATAAAAAGCTCTGTTTATAGTTGAGAGGCAGATTTGGGTATTTTTGGGTTTCTAATAATATGTCACTTTCACATTCTCTTTTCGTTTGACCAGGGATTAATGGATACGTTGTGTTAATTATAATGTTGTTCCTATTTGCATATATTTGGTCATCAATTCCCATAGTAGTGGAAATTCTCTGCATTAAAGACAATGACAGAACAGAAAATTGGTCCGTAAACTGTGATAGATGTTTCTTTAATTTTCAACTCAAACATTAGTTGATATGTTGAAAAATGTTTACAATGGTCAATTTCAGAAATAATTTAACATTTGCTTCCGTGTAAGTGTAGTGAACACAATTATCATTCAACATACCATCATTATATTGTAACCCACTCAGGTTACCAACATGGCTGGACTTTAAAGTACTGCACCAAAGTACTCCAACGAGGAACAAACATATACAGTATAAAACAAACCCATGATGTTGTCTCAATGTCTGAGTGAATGTCTCATGTCATGCTGTTTATTTTACTCTCAAATATTACATTATCTCTTTTTGTATGCTACAAATAGATTCCACCAGTAACCACATCTGACACCAGCTATTAAATAAAAAAATAAGATTGAGAGCGTCTCAAATTGCCTAAATGGATATTCAGAAAAGTGTATTTTTATTACAAATCGGGAATAAAAGCATTGGTCCTTTGCATAGGAGCGGCTCTTAACAAAGCACATAATGCCCTCATATTTTACACTGGTGACAGTTCTCCTATTAATATACACCATGCATAATACACTATTGAGGAATGTTGTGTGTTCTGGGCCTGAGCTGTGTAAATAAAAAAAGGATATTACAATTATGTACAAATCACAAAGCAGCTTGAGAACAACCAAATTCACTGGTTGGAGGAGAAACAGCGTTGGAACAGTTGTGTCAAATACCATCAATCGATGTTTTATTTGCAAGGTCATGGCGTGTCCCAGGGTGTCAAGTTAATAGGAGGGAATCAGGTTCACAAAAAATAATGCAAAGTCGGTGGTGTTAACCAAAATATATCTGATGATATGGGTGGGTGGTAAGGCACAGTATTGGGACCTTACTTCTTTATGTATTTGGGCCTTAGGGACCGGTAATGTGCTTAGGCACATTTATTCCTGCTTTCTTACAGTGCAGACGCTTTTCTGCTTGCTCTTGCCTCTGCTTACTTTTTTATGCTGATTTTCCTATTTTTCTTTTCTGAAAACTTCGAGCAGCGGCTCCTGGACATTAACTTATCATTGGGACACTTATTCTTCGTAAATAGATGGAGGGTTTCAGCCATATTTCAATATTTTTACGACGACCTCAGTCTTATAGTAGCGTGGCCTAGCAACAGCTAAAGTCTGGTACTGCATGCTATTTAGCTTAAGCTAGTTAGCAGCAAAATGCCTCCGTTCTCTACAGATGACTTCCACAAACTTCTACAGAAGATGGCCGTGTTGGAAATGAAAATGCAACAGTTGGAAGTTAACGTGGAAGTGAATGGACTAGGTTGGAATGACACCACTTTACCAGTGTTGCAAAATAATGGACAAAGGCATGCTAACTCACAGCTAGTTCGCAGCTACAAGGATTCCAAGGAACAGGAGGGCTATGTACCGGGTAATAAATCTACAAGTGGTAGTCCTCCCTGGAATTCTCTGGGTGCGAAGCCTAAAGGCCCGTACATACCAAGCCAATTTTGGCCGTCAATGGGCGTCAGGCCGGCGATGAGCGTCGACACGCCCTACTCAGATTGGTGTGTCCCGCACTGTTGTGTCTTTTCAGCCCTGCCGACACCTTTTCGGCCGAAAACCCACCGATTCAACATGTCGAATCGGTGGGCAGTCGGCCAAAGAAATCACTCTGATTGGCTGTTCAGCTAGCGAATCAGTGCATGAGAAGCGAAACGGAAGTGAGGGACTCAAACAAACTATTAAGAAGGCAAATCTGAGATTTCATTTAACTCCAGCTCTCGACACAGGTTCGGGAAAGCCCCATGAGCTTCTCGTTGTAGAGTGAAAATGGAACGCACACGCTATTTGTTGTTTGTTTATATCACGCAATCTGTTCTTCTTCTCTCGGTTATCACGCAGTCTGTCTTCCAGTTGTTGCCTCTTTTGAATGACGAATACACACTATCGCAGCCTGCTGGTAAGGAGAGTTATTGCCACACACGCATGCGCAGTTCGTACGTGATTCTTGGCCGTCGGCTGAAGTCTTTGCGGTGTGTTCCAGTGCGACACATGGCCAAGACGCGAGGCGACTCAACAGTCAGGGGTCCGTCTGTGTCAGTTATTTGGTGTCAGCTTGGTGTGTCCGGGCCTTAAGAGTAAATCATTTCCATGGGATTTGGGAGGACGAATAACGGGCAGAGCCCAGCGCTCTGAAATGTGTGATGCGACCGGCTGGCCTGCATTGTTATCACCCAGGAAGAGCGCCTATTCAACCCCTATTCATACTAGGAAACAGCTGTGGACAGCTACTAAAGGGAGAACTACAAACAATCCTCCTAAACCACCAAGTTTGCCAATCCAGAACAGATGTGCTCTGCTGAGCCAGAACCGGAGATCTCTTTATGATGACCTGGATAACCTGTCGTATTCACACAGCAGGGTAAGGACCAATAGCTACTCCAAAAGTAAAAGGCTAGAGGGAAAGCTAACGACAGGGCCTGAAACTCTGATTTTGGGTGATTCTGTTGTAAGAGATGTCTGTGTAGTAAGAACAACATCAAAGTACTCTGTTTTCCCAATGATATGGTCTCTGACTTGGCTGAGAAGATCATGCATATCAGGGCCCAACATCCGACTGTGAAAAATGCGGTAGTGCACATTGGAACAAATTATGTTGTGAAACAACAGTCAGAAGTCCTGAAAGACGACTTTAAAGGTCCCATTTCATGACCATTTCTACTGATCATAATTCCATTGTTGAGGTATACTAAAAATAGATTTATACTGTGCAATTTTCCAAAATCACATTGGTTTCTCATACAGCATCTCTGTATAGTATGTGTTATCACTCTCTGTCCTAAACGGCAAACAGCAAACTCTAACTGATATGTGCTGGGTCCAGGCTCAAGGGCGTATGGCACTCTCAACTATTTCCAGGACAAGCCGGGGACCTGCCTGCCAGTAGCTTTGCCGATATCTGTGTTGATAGGTAATAGATTGAGAGCGGTGAATCAGCTTAGAAACAGAAAGCGCTCAAACACACAGTTTATCAAATTTAGCAGTGATTCCATGTCAGCCAAAGCTTGTCACAACAAATCTGACTGATAGTGTATTCAACAAACTTAAACTGGCTTTATTAAATGTCAGGTCTTTAGCACGAAAAACGTTTTTAATCAATGATTTTATCACTGAGCACAATCTCGATTTTATGTTTTTAACGAAAACTTGGATT